GGAGGGTTGATTGGTGTGTTTCAAGTGTTATTTTGAACATCTCAACGTGACCAAAAGCAAGTAGCCATGCAATAAGTGTTCAACTAATATGATTAGGCTTGACAAAAATAATTTGTTTAAGCTTAGGGCTCTAGGGACATCTGTTTAAGCTCATGGCGCATGGGGGCATTGGTTTAAGAGTAGAGCGCTAGGACATCTGTTTAAGCTTAGGGCGCTAGGACTTTTGTTTAAGCTTAGGGCGCTAGGACTTTTGTTTAAGCTTAATGCAAAAGGGCATTTGTTGAAGATGATGATGATCATTGATTTATTTATTTTTATACTTTTTTTTTTTATAAAACAATGCGGGAAACTTGTCCCAGAATCTTTGTCAAATTTCTTTAACTGATTTAATCAACAACAACGCGTTGACCTCGTTAACACCGCAACTGTCAACCCCACCCGACACCACCCTCAAAACTACCTAACACCACAACTGCCAACCCCACCCGACACCACCCTCAAAACTACTTAACACCGCAACTGTCAACCCCACCCGACGCCACCCTCAAAACTACTTAACACCGCAACTGTCAACCCCACCCGACGCCACCCTCAAAACTACTTAACACCGCAACTGTCAACCCCACCTGACGCCACCCTCAAAACTACTTAACACCGCAACTGTCAACCCCACCCGACGCCACCCTCAAAAATTAATATGAAATATAGATTTGAAAAAAAAAGTATTACAATTTCAATAATTGTTAGGTTTTTTTTTAAACATTTTTCTTTGGGTTTTTAAAGTGTATAGTTTGTTAAATATTGAAATGTTTTTGTTTTTTTTGTTGTTGTTTTTTGTAAACCTGTGACTGCTTGAATGAAAAAAAAACAAAAAAAACAACAGCAACATTCTTTGTTATACTCCTTCCTACAGAAGGCTAACAACATGCACAGAGTAAAGGAGAATGGATTATATAAAGAAACAGTATAATGCTTCCTGAGTTCAAATTATTTTGTCATTAATTGTTTAGTAATATATATATAGAGAAAGACATAAATTGTAAAATTTTAACTCAAGAAAGTTTCTTTTCTTAAAAATAAAAATCCACGTGTATGTGTAATATGTTAAGGCGACTGTTGGTTATATGTAAAAAAGGAAAAACTTTTTTAGACTCCAAGACAATGTGCGTACTTTTTAAATGTACCACCAATACGTACGTATCACTAGATCAGTTTACACAGAGTTGGCTGAAGGAGTGCTTGTTGTGTTATTGTGTTATGTTCAGTTTTTTTATAACGCTTAAGTTTAATCTGTTGCATTATTTTTATTGAAAAAAAAAATTGATGAGATTGTTTATATCAAATAGTTTTTTTTTTTTTTTTTTTTTTTTTTTTGATCAAATTTTTTTTTTTTTTTTTTTGTTTTTTTTTTTTACAATAAATTATTTTCTTTCAATATTTGTTGGGACAATGGTTTTTTTTGTTTTTTTCTAAGGCAAGGAAATAAAACAGGAAGTGAATTTCATTCCTTTCAAACGGCTGGAAATGTGTTGGTTTTGTTTGGGTCTTTTGTTGTTGTTGGCTTTGTTTGGGTCTTTTGTTGTTGTTGGCTTTGTTTGGGTCTTTTGTTGTTGTTGGCTTTGTTTGGGTCTTTTGTTGTTGTTGGCTTTGTTTGGGTCTTTTGTTGTTGTTGGCTTTGTTTGGGTCTTTTGTTGTTGTTGGCTTTGTTTGGGTCTTTTGTTGTTGTTGGCTTTGTTTGGGTCTTTTGTTGTTGTTGGCTTTGTTTGGGTCTTTTGTTGTTGTTGGCTTTGTTTGGGTCTTTTGTTGTTGTTGGCTTTGTTTGGGTCTTTTGTTGTTGTTGGCTTTGTTTGGGTCTTTTGTTGTTGTTGTTGTTGTTTTTTTTTTTTGTTAGTGTGTATTGCACTTATGTTGAATTGTGTTTTAGTTGTGTAAATTGCTGTCTTCACTGTTTTATCTAAATTTCTTATAACATGTTACGTGTTTGCAGTTGTTGTTTTTTTTGTTTTTTTTTTGTTTGTTATTTTGTTTTGGGGAGGAGGGGAAGATTAAGAGCTTGTCTCCAATGCACTGCCATCAACATTTAGACATTTGGGAGTCGCCTGAATGGCAGCCTCTGCCATTGTATAAGGATGTTATTTTTATGGATAATTGTATGGTTCTTAGGCTATCGATTATGAAAGACTATTGGAATGGGGATCGTCCCGAAACAAAAGATTTACAGAGTTTTGCCTATGCTACCTTAAACCAGGCCTGCACAACTCCAAATGTAAGGCGGGCCGTCGTACTATTAGATGAAAAACATGTGCGGGCAAAAGGAAAATACGACAGGACTTGTGCGGGCCAAAAGAAAATAGGACGGGTGGAAAGTCATTAAGAATTATTTTTTTTTAAAGAGTATTTCTTTACTTCGCGGTCCGCAAAATGGGTGGTGGCTGGCCGCATGCGGCCCGAGGGCCGAATGTTGTGCAGGCCTGCCTTCAACGTTTGAGGACCATTTTTGCTAGGTGTCAATTTTGAATTGATTATTGACAGTAGAATTTAACGTCTTATGCTGGAACTGTCACACTTGTTAATTTGTTGACCTGAGAACAGCATTTCGCGTCCTCTACTGAAAATACCAAACGTGTTAATTTGTCGAGCAACTTTTCAGTCTTCTGTTGTTCGGTCTAGTTGGAATCAATTTCACTAAGTGTTTCCAATGCTCATTATGGTCCGGTAAAAAAAGAATTACATTAAAAAAAAACACACCAATTATGTTGATAAATCGTGTTAAGATTAATTTTACAGTAAAACGCGCAACACAGTTACAGCTTAACAGTACTTCAGCCTCCATGGCAACGCATCAAGATGCACTTCAGGCTCCACGGCTACCACATCAAGCAGCACTTCAGCCTCCACGGCCACCGCATCAAGCAGCACTTCAGCCTCCACGGCCACCGCATCAAGCAGCACTTCAGCCTCCACGGCCACCGCATCAAGCAGCACTTCAGCCTCCACGGCCACCACATCAAGCAGCACTGCAGCCTCCACGGCCACCGCATCAAGCAGCACTTCAGCCTCCACGGTAACCGTATCAAAGAAATGTTTTTTGTTTTTTTTAAACAGTTTATTTAAACAGGCCATCCTTGCAATATCAAATTGAAATTGGGTTTTCATCACAGCATGAACTTCGAACTCAATTATCTTTTTCTTTTTATTATTACTGAAAAATTCCCAAATTAAAAATCAACAATTATATTAGTACGTTAATGATAGCACAATTTGTTTTTGGAATGCGTTGATTAATTAAGAGGTTTCAAATTAAGATTTCATATTTTCTTCAGTGGGAATCATCAAGGTTCTTTTGAAAGGCAGATTGTTTTCTTTCTTTGTTATTTGCTGCTTCTTAAAATTCTTCTTCTCATCTAGTTGCCATTTTAAGGGGTGGGAGGGAATTAATTTTTGTAATATCAGAGGAGCACTGGCATTTTAGGTATTTATATAAACGTTTATATAATATGACAGTTTTTTCCCCAACATTTAAATTATTATACTAAGTCATCAGTTCTAAGTGACGTAGTTCTTTGTGCAATTAAATAAAAAACTTTAGGAGTCCATACTTTCATGTCCAACTTTAAAATGCACTAATCCTTCTGTAGAGGGTGCAAGATAAAGCCCAACCATTTTAGGAAAAGTAAGGGGATTTGGGGGAGGGGGGGGAACGTTCTCAGAATATATAGAATATTGTGGAAACTCTGTTTTCAAACGGGAAAGTGAGACTTCCCTCGGAATGTGCGGACGAAAGTAATGGACATAGACACCAGTAGAACAAAATCCAACTCATAGTCAGGCAGATTGTGACGTTAAAAATTTATTATTTTCGTTACCATTTAAAACTTAAAATATAAGAGTGCACATAGTATATTTCATGAGAGGTCGTCTCTGAATCAGTTTGTTACATTAACGAATTTCTCATGCTTTTGGGTGACGTTTCGCTAAACCAGTGTTGAACTTACACGGGGAAAATGTCTTGGGCAGGTGAAGGGTGCTTAATGTGGTTGTGAAATGTCTTGGCTAGGCGCGGGGTGCTTCATGTCGTTGTGAAATGTCTTGGAAAAGTGCGGGGTGCTTCATGTCGTTGTGAAATGTCTTGGCTAGGCTCGGGCTGCTTCATGACGTTGTGAAATGTCTTGGCTAGGCTCGGGCTGCTTCATGTCGTTGTGAAATGTCTTGGCTAGGCTCGGGCTGCTTCATGTCGTTGTGAAATGTCTTGGCTAGGCTCGGGCTGCTTCATGTCGTTGTGAAATGTCTTGGCTAGGCTCGGGCTGCTTCATGTCGTTGTGAAATGTCTTGGCTAGGCTCGGGCTGCTTAATGTCGTTGTAAATTGTGTTTGCTTTCAATTATTTCTTTATTTTTAAATGAGCAACGCTCATTTCTTTTTCTATTAAAAAATCTGCTCCCGTGAGACATGTATTTTTTTTTTTTTTTTTAAGACAACCAAAACCCTATCTGCATTCCCTAAGTGTGGGACTTGCTCAAAGATAAAATAGAAATAAACGTATTTTTTTTTTACAAATTCCCGTAGATATAAAATAAGTATTTAACAGCTTTGGTATCCGTCGTTCATGTCTTGAAAAGTATCGGGAATCTTTAGCTAGACTTTCATCGATAACTGCACATAACAGTGTCCTGGTGTGTGTGGTGGTGGTTTGCCGGGTAGAGTATTGGGGGGGGAGGGGGATTGGGAATGGAGGGCCTGAAAGGATGTAAGTTTCCTTGTTGAGATATGGCTTATTGATCACTGAGGAGAATGTCATGAACCATGACGGCGTCGAACCATGACGGCGTCGAACCATGACGTTGTCGAACCATGACGGCGTCGAGCCATGACGGCGTCGAGCCATGACGGCGTCGAACCATGACAGCGTCGAAGGAGGAAAAACAAAGAATGAAAAGAAACCCTGAGACGGTGCTTGGCACAAGAGGGGCTGGGGGGGGGGGGGAAAGGGGGGGGGGGGGGCATTGAAAATTATTTCGTTCAGAACTTTAGGAGATGTCGGTTGTTTACTGCCAAGATCCCATGAAAATAACAAATTTGAAGAGGGGGGACAAAGCTGAAATATCTTATATGTTTGAAACACCGACAACCCTGCCTAACAAGTCTCACAATTCCAAGCAAGACCAAACGAAATTGTTGTTTTTTCTTTCTTCAAATATCCACAGTATCGTACAGTATGAAAACGTCAGCGGAGTTCGCTGTCAGTCAGTATCTCCTTCAGCAATGGCGTTTCATTATTCAGGATGTGTTTGTGGATAAGGCCGTTGCCAGGCAACAGGCTTTTATGGAGGGCGTCTCTAAGCTCCACAAGGCATGCTACAATCTTGGCCACAAAGAAAAAAAAAGAAGATGTACATGAATTATATTATAAATAATTCATGCAGTTAGTTATATCTGATTTAATTCGTGCAGGAATTTCTTCTTAACCCACAGTGAATCACGTTTACCTATATTTTTTATATTTTTAAAATTTATTTTAAACGAACTTAAGAACAGTGCGTGCATTTTTTTCTCCATTTTTTTCTCTTCCTTGTTGAAAACTTCATTTTCTTTCAATTAATTTTTAACCACTTCAAAAACTGCTCTAACATGACCGAGGCATGACACACGTCATATTCATTATGTTTTATGAGGAGGTTCATGCATTAGTTATGGTTGTTGTTGTTGTTATTTTTAAAGTTGGTTGGTGTTTTAAATTTATTCTGGATCCGCAAACCTTGCCAGGTAATTTTGCGGTCTAGTCATCCCCCCACCATTTTTCTTTTTTAAATTTAATTTTTGTTGTAATATTTAAAACTATTCAAGCTATGTCCGTTATCTCCTACTATCAATCGTTAATATCAATACAAGTGCCCATTCAATGGGTGAATTGATTTATAAAATCAATACATATTTCCTAATAATTGTCTCGACTCCAGACAGTGAAGTATAATCACCTCAGAGAAGACACCAGGGTTTTCAGGGTGGGTGTTCTCGAGATCCCTCATCAGACACTGGGTCATCAGCCAGTGGAGTGAGCGCACCTGTAGGATTAGATTAACTCATTCAAAGGAGTGTTTGACTGCGATAAAGCTTCAGTACAGTCTACTTTTTAGTTGAAACAAAAAATTGTGCATCATTGATCTACATGAGGCATCAGGTAAGTTAAAAAATATCTCATATTAAGAAAATTCAGGTCTGTTTTTTTTTACTATTTTAAATCATAGTATTCAGTCAATGTAGATTAAGCAATATCGATATAAATATTAATAAAAATCTAATTGTTATTTTAATTATTCATAAGAAGTCAGATTTGACAGAAGGTAATTTTACAACTTTATCAGCAAATGATTTCTCACAATCTTTTAATGCCGAAGTAACATATAACATGGCAGGGGGTGTGGCGCTGGTTCATAAGTTATGATATGAAACGATAACATCATTCTTTTTCCCGCTGAGTTACTTATAACAACCAATTTATAACATCACCTGATCTGGGTTTTCAAGCCGGTGTCCTTCAGGGTAGGTCAAGCACATCATTTGTATCAGGACTATTTCGTCAGGTGTCACCTTTAACTTCTTAAGCTGGTTCGACAGTCTGGAAAAGTTCACCCAGGCATGTATCACAAGACCACAGTTCATGCCTTCGGTAGTCTATCCCTACCTAGCTATTGTTCACAGACGGGAACAGCTTCAAGGAAACAAATCCTTTGAAACAAATTTGATTAATGCTGGACAAAACTTTAAAATTGTAATGATTTATTTTGGCTCAAGAAATGAATGAGTTTAGTTTGCGCTAGAAACTTTTTTTTTAAAAATAATCACTTGTTACAAGGAGGACTCTCTTTAGTACATATGAGTTGGTGTTTTTGAAAAACACTTGGCTTCTTTTATGAGATACCGAAACAAAAAATACATCGTCAGATATTGTAAATATTATTTCAAATATTATTCAAACCAACTTGCTTACGGTCCCTTTTCCTTTGTTATTATCTGAATTATCTGTAAATATAATTCGCCAGCAAAGGTCAAACACCACCACGCAGGCTATATATAGATACGCCAGAGTGTGGTTCAATAATGAGTTCACTAGCGCGCAAAATATAATTCCCGATAACTACGCTAAATGATATATATATTTTTTTTAATAACGCAATTGCGTTTGGTGCGTAATATTTTCTTTTCGGAAATGAAATCGTCTCAATTTAAGTATTGTGTAAAAAATATTCGGTTTAAAAGTGGTTGGGACATGAGAATAGTTAATATATAGTTCATGGGCGTGAAATAAAAAGTGCGCAGTGACGTATCATGGGGGAAGTGGTGAAGCAAATATTGGGATTCTTTTAAATGTGCGTTACTTGAGTTCATGTTTTGTCAAGTAACTTTACTAGATGGGAATATATTGTTATTAAATGTTTGATTTTCTGTGACGTATTGCGCGAAAAGAGGTATGACTTATTATTATTAATCTATCTATGTATATATAATTCACCAGAAGTAGGGCAAACAAAAAGACGACACCACCACGCAGGCTATATATAGATACGCCAGAGCAAGCAAGACGACGCATGCAAACACTTCCCTCCCCTTGCTTGACGCGTAATTGGAGAAAACAGTTACTATCTTACAGCTCGCGGCGTCTGCTAAACCGCGGGTCGGCTATATTTATATAGTTCATGGGCTTGAAAGAAAAAGTGAGCAGTGACTTATCATGAAAAGTGGTGGGGGGGGGGGGCAAGGGGTGTAGGAAAATTGGCATTCTTACATGTTCGTAACTTGAGTTCACGTTTTTGTCAAGTAACTTTAGTAGATGGGAAGTTCACGCATTGCTTTCGCCAATGTTTGGCGTGTACATCTAGTATTAACGAATGGATCAAATTCAATATGTAACAACTGGGCTTAACCCGGGGCATATTCTTTTACACCGGGTCCGGATATTTTTAGAAAATATTCGGGGGGGGGGGGGGTTTCGAAGTATTTTTTTTTTTAAGTTATTTTCTCATTTTGCAACGAAATATACCCCCCTATGTCGTAGTGAGAGTACATTGAAATCTACCGCCCTATGTCGTAGTGAGAGTACATTGAAATCAACCGCCCTATGTCGTAGTGAGAGTACATTGAAATCTACCGCCCTATGTCGTAGTGAGAGTACATTTCCTTTGTCAAGAAATAATACACAGATGGAAACATGCAGTTGCCGGATCTCGGAATGGAGATGACATTGCACAAAAACCCGTCGACAGAGAAGATACTGCCGTTCATTTCCATAGCAAGGCCTTAATAAATAAGAGTCACTGCATAACGGAGATAGCAAACTATTTAAATGAGTCGAGACGTGCGCTTGAAGCTCGCTGAGTGACAGAGGAACATGAACAATAACAACATCGAATAATATTCACCCTCCTTTAAGTGCTATTTTTTTACCGGAGTTCACACGTCACGCATGACATTTTTGTTCCACTTAGTACTATTAATATAAAACATGTGGAGTTGGGGTTAGGTTGAAAAAAAAGGGGGAGGGGGTGAAAGAAAGCAGGGCACACCAGAAGAAATATATATATATATATATATATATATATAAGAGATATTAGATATATTTGAGGAATAAATAGTTGTTTTGTTTTGTTTTCAAATTCTTACTTGAAGGACACGTCGGCGTAGACTTGACCAAACACCATCTTGATTTCATCGTAATGTAGGACCGTACCCTTGGGACTAGACGTACCGTTGGGACTAGTTGTACCGTTGGGACTAGACGCAACGTAGGGATTAGACGTCACCTTGGTAAAATAACAAATACAAGTATAGGTTAAGTGGTGGTCTTAATGATTAAACTTTGTTTCCAGTTGTCAAAATGACGGTCGTGTGTCTTTTAAGATTATCCGTCTATTAAACCGCAGAGCTATTATTTTTTTTTTATGACTTGGTACACAGGGGAAGTTATTGTTATATAGACTACAAGCTCTGCCCGGCCGGATTAAGAAATTGGAGGCCCTGTGCTGTAGCATAACATGGACCAGTTGCTAGCTATAACAACATTACTGAAATTGAAAACCAGACGAAGATCTTCAGGCTCATATGCACTGGGATCTCCCCTACCCCAAACCGGATCTCCCAGCCCCCTCCCACCTTTTCTTATTGATATTGAAGCCCTGGGGCTGACTGTAAAATTCAATGCTCTTATTAATCGTTATTCATCAAGGAATTATTTACTTTTGAATTTGAAAACGTAGGAGTGCTGAAAATGTTGTACTTTGGAAATTGTGAAGTTTAGGAGAAAAGAAAAGAAAAAGCAAGATCTTCAAACCAAAAAAATCATATTGAACCATTAATAACTCTGAGGCAAGGGGTGGGGGGCCAAGGGGGGCACTCGACCCGGAGGCCAACATCAGAGAGAGAGCAAAAGTCGTCTTTAGTTAGACATTAATATTGAATGAAACTAAAAAAACCCACGTACCTCACAAAGACCATGGGCGCTAATTTGTATTGTGGTGGTCTTTCCCGGGCGGCAATATTTGCCTATATATTAGGACGCGGAATTTTCAGCCTTCCCCTCCCACCCCTTTTCCGCCCCCCCCCCGGGCAACGCTTGTCTTTGGCAAGGCCATGCCCAGGGGCGTAGGAACTGCGTGGCGGTGTGAGACCGAATTCGGCCAGCGGCGATTTAGCATTGGTCTAAAAGCAGAACCTTAAAACAGTTTAGTTGAACGTCCCTGGCGTTAGTTACGTCATTGCGTCCTTGTCAGTTGCTGGAGAAATTATTATTATTATTTTTTATTTTTTTTAGTTTCTTCATTTAAAATGTAACAAATTTATTTTCGTCATCGTGTTATTAATAATAAATAGCATGGGAGAGATAAAACATTGAAAAGGACACTTAACTCTGAATTGTTTACATAGCCTTAAAATAAACAGTGTGATGCCAGGCGTAAAAAAGAAATGAGGGAAAATGGTAAGCCATCTTGGCAAACTAAGTCTTGGAAATTATTTTTTTTTTTTTTTAACAGTTAAGACATACTTTAATTTCAGAGTTAAATCCCCTGTGTGCACCTAGCAGCCATATTTCATGCCAGGTTGACCTCACGAGGGACGTCTGGTCATTTAGGTGAAGCAGATTAAAACCCGGAATGCGCTTGACAAACTTGACAAAATGAAGCATCCAGTTCTGGGGAATGGGAATAGGAACAGGCGTAACGGTGCAAACGGCTCTAAGAGATAAATAAAAATCGACTTGGCATAATGAAGCAAACGGCTCTAAGAGATAAATACAAATCGACTTGGCATAATGAAGTGACCATTACTGGGAAATTAAAAAAAATATATTTTTAGACTTTGCTATTTTATAGTCTACTGCTTGGCCATAGAGACTTTCTGCTTCCTCGCCTAAAGAAAGTTATATGCCTGACCAGGGCCGTCGTATGGGCCTTGCGAACCTAGAGGCTGTAGCCGGGGTCACAGATACTTAATGATCCCAAGGTTGTCATGTGGGGGGGGGGAAATAACTCTCAACTTTGAATGCAGGGGGGGACACAAATTCAAAAGAAAAAGGTGCCGGGCTGCTCCAAAAGTCTCAATACGGCTCCGCACCTGGCGTATTACGGGTCGCCCCTCACGAATTTTAGGGCTAGCTGAATGATCAATCATTTTTATGACGGGTTTTATTTTAAGATGTGCATATGCTTATCACCCATTTTTGGGCATATCCTTGGTGCAACAAGGGGAAAAAAATATTTAAATGTGTGTTTTTAGGGGAGGGTGGCTGGGGGACAGAGGGGGGGGGGCGTGTCAATCTCTCATTCTCTGCTTTGGTTGAAATGTAGAATTTTGTTTCGTTAAACAGGACCTCGAGTTGGTAGCTCGTGTCGAAGTCTCAGTCAGGCATGCCAAAGTCCATCGGATACTACAATACACCTATATAGACTTTCTTTTAAAAAGAAAACCGCGCTATAATTGACGTATTTTAAAAAAAATCTAACTCTACAACAAACGGGGAGGCCAACGCCATAGGCGCTGATCGCTGCAATAAAACAGTGATTAACTCTTCGTCTCAATGAAGCATAAAGAAGACACCAATAAGGTAATGAGCGCAAGCAACAGAAAACGCGTTACACATTATATAGAGTTTATACCAATGTAAACTATTCAAGGCGCTGGCAGACTCGCTGTCGTCCAACCGTTATATTTAATTTAAATCTAATACTGAAGTATTAAAAGAAAGAGAGATTCAAGCCGGAAAATTCATTAATGTCTGTACCTCGAGGAATCCCGCCATTATTTTTGAGAACCCTGCCTCACTTGTATCAGCCGGGGTTCTCAAACCCGGTACACCGAGGACGTCCTTATGGTGTGTCGTGATCCTTGTTACTCTGTCAATGGAATGAGCTGGAGAAGAGTAGAGCTCGGAATACCTGCAAATTAAAATACAATACAATTATCCAACATTCCGCCCCCAAGTAATAATGTTGTACTAATGTAGAAGAACTAATTTAATGTCCATAAATCAGGCTTGCATTTGGGAAAATTTTTTAGGGCAGCAGGGTACTGTAAAGAATATTTTAAGTGTATTTTTGTAGTCGCAACCCAATGTTAAAAACAACATATTTAAATAGTAATTAAAATACCACATTCAAATTAACTTTTGAGGAGCCCCTCAACGGAACCCCCTCGGTAATCTCCCTCAGGCCAGCTCAAGAGTTTATCTGCACCCATGATATACTTTATTTCAAATTTTTGCTTCTGAAGATAAAAGATAAAAAATCGTTTACGCCAAGATAAGAAGAAAGCGACACCAACTTGCACTGTCTTTCGAGTGGTTCGTGATCGAGAACTTGCCCGGGGCGCTCCGCGTGCTGACGGTGAAGTTTGATCAGGTCAGAAGCCATGGGGTCAAGCCTTGGGGAATCTTCTACCGGTGAGTGGTTGTTTTTGTTCTGGTTGTCCGTCTCAATGGCGTACGCCAGCCGGGTCTTGTCTGAATATCTGGGCAAGGGGATGGAGTTATGTGTTTAGTGAGATCAACAAGATGGAAGTTAATGGGGGATGAATGGGAGAGATCTCAATAAACAAATGAGTTTCCATATCATTGATCACGAGATCAATGAGATGGAAATACATATGTTTATTGAGATGGAAGTCGTTTCAAGAGACCAGTGAGAGGAATATTCATGAGACCAATGAGTTGGAAGTTTATGAGCTTGATAAGGTGGATGTTCATGAGAACAATGTGATGGAGGTTCATGGATTCAATGAGATGGAAGTTCATGCAATCAATGAGATGTAAGTTCATAGGTTTATTGAGATGAAAGTTCATGGGTTCATTGAAATGGAAGTTCATGAGATCAATGAGATGGAAGTTCATGAGATCAATGAGACGGAAGTTCTTGAGATCAATGAGATGGAAGTTCTTGAGATCAATGAGATGGAAATTCTTGAGATCAATGAGATGGAAATTCTTGAGATCAATGAGATGGAAGTTCTTGAGATCAATGAGATGGAAGTTCTTGAGATCAATGAGATGGAAGTTCTTGAGATCAATGTAATTTCTTTTATAGTTAAGGGATAAAACTCCGGAAAATGTATCCTCGTTTTACCGATAAGAGTTGACCCCCTTACCTTCCTGTTTTGACGGCAGTTTTTGACATCCCGACGGCCAAACACGTCTGGTATCTACAGTAGCTGCACTCTCCGCGTTTCTTGCCTTTCACGTCACACTGTCTGTTTTTGGAACAGAGGTAGATTGCTCCCCGTTTGAGGCTCCTTCTGAAAAAAAAAGGGAAGCATTTGTTAGAATAAGCAGTATAATGTTTGTTAAGTAGAACATAACGGATCAAAGCATATGACGAAATTATAATTTATAGCGGATATAATCAGAGAACAAGTAGAAACTTTTTTCTTTTAGTACTCACCTGAAAAAACCGTTACAAGCCTCGCACGTGACGACGCCATAATGGAGTCCCGAAGCCTTGCTTGTACATACTCGGCATGGCGGAAGAACGGATGGTCGGCGTATTTCCGTCTACAGATAAAAAAAAATTTATATATAATAATTCCCAATTTAGTAAACACTCAGGCGTATGTAAACACTTAAAGTAAACTAATCTCGTACTAAAAAAAACATCGAAGGAAAGAATTGAATGTTGGAAGCAGAAAGGTGGGGCAAAACTGTGTTCAGGTGGAAGAAATAGGAATTATAAAGAACGAGGTTAGGGGAAAACCTGAAGAAAAACGAAACAACAAACAAAAAAATAATAAATAAACAAGGACTGCGTCGGCAAAAAGCCTTCGTCAGTGAACAAAACAACAAACAACAACAAATAAAAAAGAAAAGAAAATAGCTTTATTAGTATCGCTGGGATACTAACTTATAATCAAAGTGCTTCTTCTTTTTATTTTTATTTTTTATTAAACGTTCGTTGTGTTGAACAATTTTGTTTACTTATTGATTTGATTCATGTCCGTTGTCCACCCTTTCATTTTTTAGATTTCAATTCTGAAAAGGCGTTTGCTATTTTTTTCGTTTAATTCGAAATGAAAAACGGAGGGTCGTAACGGACTATGAAGGGTCGTAATGGACCGTGGAGGGTCGTAGCGGACTATGGAGGGTCGTAACGGAAAATGGAGGGTCGTAACGGACTATGGAGGGTCTTAACAGACTATGGAGGATCGTAGCGGACTATGGAGGGTCGTAACGGACAATGGAGGGTCGTAACGGACTATTGAGGGTCATAGCGAATTATGGAGAGTTGTAACGGATGGTGAAATAAGTTGACTAAAAGCTAAGAATTTCACGATTTTAAAATATTTTTATGAAGATTTTAATATATTTATTCTATCTCTGACGCCAGCGAGACTTTACTTTCCGCTCTCCACGTTACCGAACCCAACAAGCAATCAATCCATTTGGTTGTTACCGTTGTATTATTTAAGATTTGCATCCTATGCAATTGTTATGAATGTGTACAATGGCGTTAGGACAGCCGTGGGACAGTCGTGGGACGGCCATGGGACAGCCGTGGGGACAACCGTAAGGACACATACCTTAGAGGAGTCCGACGACGACAAAGAGGAGTATCTGCTGTCACTCGGGGACGTATTCGGCGACGGGTCGCTGTGGCATCCAACACTCTCATGGGAAGGAGGGGATCCAACTGACATGGAACTGACTGATACTGACCGTTGTCCGGGCAGCGTCTCTGAAATGAAGTGAACTTTTTAATCTGAACGAGACGTTACCATCGGGGATTGCCTTGAGAGCAATGCCAACGTTTGGCAGATTCTTGGAACACCTTGCCATTTTGAATTAGGACATCGATTTATTCATTTTACTTTCTATTTCAAAAATGGGAGATACATTTAAAAACAATAGCTAAAGACTGGTGGTGGTTCCTGAATTTGTAAAGTTAAACGTTAATGATTTTTGTTTTAAAAAAAGGTTTGCTAAAAAATAAAACAAGCACCAAGTTCTATACGTTTTGTATTTCTTGCCAAGAGTCAATGTCTCAGAAAATGATTGGCGTCTGGTTGGGTGTAGTAAGGAACCGAGTGTGTAAATATGGTGTGCATCCTTTTCCCCTTTTACCTAATTATAAAATTTCGTAAAATTGTTGGTGTCTATTTAATCCTCTTTACCTAAATGCTATATAAATGGTGATGGGTTTTGGGGTTGTTTTTTTTTTTTATCTGTTGGCGTCACACGTTTTCTGATGATTACACCATTCACTTTTAGTAGTGCTTTACATGTTAAATCGTGCAGAACCAAGACCCTGTGGTCAGCTCAAGAAGAAGTTGCCAATGCACAGAATTTGAGATCCTTCTCCGTTATGGCTACCAAAAAAAAATGATTGAAAGAATGAACGGGTGAGTATAAGTTGAACTAATCTTCGCATCTGAGGATTAAAACTAATATTTTTTTACAGCTTTTGCAAAATGCATACCTTCAGATGGTACGTCCGTGGCTCTTTTTCTCTTAGGTGGACTTTCTCCATTGTTTTCCTTGTCAGTCGCATCGTCTAATAACTTTTCGCATTTATCACCAATAGTCTCTTGCAACAATCTGGTGGTTTGCTTGAAACAATTATCCAAGATTTCTCTGGCCGTGGGGAAGAGATTGGATTGTGGTCGGTTCTGTTCAGAAAGTAATCAAAAAGCGGATTGAACTGAAACTTCATTTCATTTTGATTTAATTCATTAAATTAAAGACTTGGTGGTCTCAGACATTCAGTGGGAAAATAATTTATTTTTATTTATTCTCAAAGCATGTCAGGTGGAATTAATTATCAATTTTTTTAAAAACAAAATAGCTTTTCTTGAAAAATATATATATATATAAATATATAAAATATATTGTAAATTCTTAAAAATTTCTAAGAGGAAAAAAATACAGATTTGTAACGTGTGAAATTTTTTATCAATGAAAGCTGGTCAAAATTTACTTTTATTTACATAAGACAGTTTTTATGGAAGATTATTGGAAGATTTAATTGAAAATCGCTTTTTAAAAAATAACATCTAAATCTGCACCACACATCTAAAGAGTTCCCCACCTGCATGATGTGGTCCATGGCGGAAGAGATGACGTGGTTAGAAATATTTTTCATCCCATCTTGGTTGGAAGTTGCATGTCCCAGCATGAAAGTTAGCAGTGCCCTATGTCCGGTGCAAGGGTTGGACTGTCCGGTGCATTGGTTGTACTGTCCGGTGCATGGGTTGGACTGTCCGGTGCAGTTGTTGGACTGTCCGCGGTTGTTGACAACATCACTCTCAATGTTCGCTAATAATGGATTGGAAGTGCAGGTGAGTCGGAGGTCAGGATCTGATGAGGTGCACATTTGAATTTAAAGCCTCTACGATGGACGAATTAATAGGCTCTCTCAAGTTTCAAATTTTACAAGATTTGAATGTACTTTTTAAGTTAAAAAAACCACCCAAAAAAAACCACATTATTTGTTAATTACATGCAACAGTGTCATTATGCTGTCTAATTGTGAGATTCTGTATAATCTATATTCAATATTTCTGTTTATTTATGAAATTAGTGAAATTCCACTTACCGACTGCTGTATATTTGCCATCTGTCTGAAATGTATTATCCCAATGAGGTGTAGAAAAGTTGTAGGATCTGAACAGTTCAATCTCGGGGCCAGCTCCTGATAGGACGGACTCAAAGTCGTGACAATTTCCTTGCGCTGGTCGACAAAATGGTTTAGCTTGCCACGATGAAAAACTTGGGGATCCCTGCTGCCAACGAGCACACGGCTGATGATCTGTATCCGGCAGCGTGACGCTTGTTGGATTTATTTCCCGCGTGTTTGGAGTTGGATCCTGAGATGAATTCTGTGAGCTGCCGCATATGACATGGCTCGTTTGATGATGTGAGTTATGATTGATGCGCGGCGATTCATTACGTGGTGCTGCTTGATGGATGAATGGCTTTGCTGGACTGCAGTTAGTCTCCGTTGAGATTCGAGATTCTTCTCTGATTGGGAAACAGCCCACATTTTCTTCGCTGTTAAAGGAGCTTGGTGGATGTACGTCCTCAAACAAAAGAGCATCTATACAACTAGGCTGAGCATTTGTAGATTTCTTTTGGAAGAAGTTTTCTTCATTTTGGACCAGAGCGTCGTTGCTGATGTCGCTAGATGTCTCCAATGGTATGGGCTGCAGAAAGTTGTCGAATCCACAGTCTTCAAGGCCAAATGATAACGGAAGTTCATAATGAATGCCAGCGTCCTCAGCCGATTGGAGGTCTGGAGAGCAAAGTTCATTGATGAAGCTTCCGTACTGATTGGATGTGTAGTAATTTTGTGTTGGACTGCTCACGGGGATGTTACTATACATCTGGTGCTGATAGAGGGTCGTGTTCGGAGGATATGACCAATTGCTGGGTGCTGGGAAGGATTCGGTCGCAGGCATCATCTCGCAATGCGGGGTAACGCCATTTCTTCTTGAAAAGTCTTGACAGTGGTGCGCATTATCTTTATTATCAAATACAATTTTGGCTGTTGTGTTTTCCGGCACGTGACTGCGTTGAGTAACGAAGTGATCATCGAAGGGGGCGTTGGCAATCTCTTCCTGGCAAGTCTGTGCTACGTTCTTTATTTGAAGAAAGTTACCTGTACGATCTGTCATGGTGTTTATAGCGCTGTTTGGCGGAGTCAGACTGTGGGATCTCGTTTCACTGCTGTCATCTGTGGCATCTTTATCAGGATATCGTGTTGAAAGAAGTGGACAATTTAGGCGGGTTGAGTAGTCCTGAGATTTAAAATGTTCACGTCCGTGGGAACTAACGTCGCCATCGAAGCTCCATCTGCCAACTCCAATCGAATAACTTAAGTCCTCGAAGATGTTCATGTGTTTTGTTTGTGGGATTGAGTTGCTAAAAAGTTGCTTGTTCTCAGTAACGGGGTATATAGAAAAGCTGTTCATGTTTTTTTTTTTTTTTGGTTTTCTTTTTGGTTTTCTTTTTGGTGTTTTTTTCGTTGTTGTTAAATTTTTAAGGTGGAGACAACACGGTTTCAATATCCATGCTATTGTAATAAGGCCACGATTCACTTTAATGTGTTGAGTTGCATCCCCAGATCTGAGATATATTTAATCCGTCTCAATAGTCTTAATAGCAGGCTTAAGATTCATTGTGTGGAAGACAACGAAAGCTCAATAGTCTTAATAGCAGGCTTAAGAGTCACTGTGTGGAAGACAACGAAAGAACTTCATCAGCAGGTGAGATTGTCCTCTACTGTCTTGTGTTATCTGGTTGATTCTATGAAGACTTGTCCATTGTTACTGCGGAAAACACACTTGAGACACAACAGTTACTGTGGACAAAAGTATAACAATACACATCATTAATTTATGTACAGGCCAGTAGTGGTTAGACTGCTATGAATCGTTTAAGAAGGCCTTAATCGAATCCATATTCAAGGGTATTTACCTCTAACCTCTATGATATGTATTCGAGTAAAGTTCAATTTTAAAGAATTAGTTAAAAAAGTGTATATTTTATGAGAAAATTTTAAAGTAAGATTAATACATTAGCGACGTTATTTTCACAGGTCCCTAAATTACCAAGTCCGTCGAAGATGCTTTAGAGCGTTTCATTTTGAGTTCAAATCCAGGCGATGTCGGGTAAACTAGCTAGTTGGATATACTAATTGTGTACAAAAGTCAATATTTTTTTTTTTACTTTTCAAGGTAACCAATTCAGATATTTATATGTCACCTAGTTCATTGGGTTAATTTTTACGATCATTACGATTAAAGTAAAAGGATGTTTACTTATGTCGTTACACATACTGAATTTGGTGTTACATGTTACTAATACAGATGTGTGAAGATGTATAAACCGCTCAACTGGGTTAAGTGTTACGAATACTACTACAGAAAGAGGGCGTCGTGCACTCATCTCGTTACAGACACGGAATCTGGCGTTACTTGTGTTACTGATACAGTTGTGTGGATGTATAACCTGGTCAACTGGGTTAATTGTTACGGACACCACCGCAGAAAGAAGGCGACGTGCACTTACATCTTCACGGAGTCTGAATTTGGTGTTATTTTTCTTACTAATACAGATGTGTGTAAATGTATGACCTGATCAACTGGGTTAATTGTTACGAGCACTATCACTGAGAGCAGGCGCCGTGCACTTGTGTCTTTATGGACACGGAAGCCCGATTCACTTGTCCTCGGTGCCCGAGAAGTGGGTCAGTTAAGTCGGTCTCAGATCCGCAGAGGCCAGTAGGGCGCAGTTCGCAGACGATATGAACTTAACGTTCAGAATATTGTACACAAAGTCTATCGCATTGATCCTTTTTTTTTCTTTTTTTCTTTCTTTTTTTTTTGCGTTTGCTTTTGGCTTTTCTTTATTCTCTTCTTCTGAAAATAACCTCTGCTCATTTGATTATTTCAAAACATCATATCTAACTTTTAACGTATAAAAGAGGACACCGAAACTAGATTGCACGAGGTTACACTTAACTCTGCCGCAGTAACGTCTGGTCGTGCACCGTTCAAGGTCACAGGGGCTGATGTAGACTAACTTTAAGAAAAAAAATCTTCATACATTTTAAAATCTTTAAATTCGACACATCGTTTCAAGGACATCGGTCAGTAGTGTCGTCGCCTGTATCTCCTGAAGGTAGTAGCATCGTGTCAGTGTTTTTCGACAAACCGGTTATTGGCATTGAAAATCTGAGTTTAAACCGTTAAGCCGTTAATCTGTTGTTAAGATGCATTCCCTATTTTCCCCACAGAGCAAATTGAGAGGGACATGTTTTTATAGAATCGTTAGCGGCAGCCGAGAGATATTCTTAGCATTGTTGAAGCTACCATCTACTCTGTCATAGTTTAATATATACCACAGTTTGATACCAGCATTTGTCTCCGGTGAATAATATGGCAGTTTACTTAATGTCACCCAAGCAATAGCCGGAGAACTCATATGTGTTGCCTGTGACAATACTGCCCTCGTGCAATCTACAAACTTGTTAATAGATCAATATTTACAGATACACGCCTCCAGCGGTATAGTGACATTGGATTTTATTTTAAGCTCATTTTTTTTTTGTTGCGGGAAACAATTCCAGTCCCCACCGATTCTTGACACAAAACAGCATAAATCTATTGGAGAGAACTCAGGGTTTTTTTTTTTGTTTTTTTTACATTTTACTGTAAATATCATCGTCTCTTACGTGCTAAATAAAACAGTGAAAAGTTATGGATTGAACGAAATAATTACTTTGGAAAAGGAAATCAAACAACAGTTCGATTATCATTATGGAAAAAATCAACAAGTGGTTATTGGTTTAAAAAATCTTTGGAAAGAAGCCGTATCACATTATCTTTTCACATCCATTGTAGCCAGCGGCTACATTTGGTGTCTGGGTGAAAGATGTCCGCATGTACCCAATGCGAACTTCATGCAGTTCATTTTATTTGAATGTCTCTTGAAGGGGGGAAAGCAAGGACATTTGATGCACGCGGTATGCGAAAGCTTGATACAAGACTAAAAGAAACCTTAAAACGTCTCGGCCAAAAGCCTCCGTTTTTGAACTCAACAGGACAAGAAAAAAGGTAACGTACAAAAAACAACCCAACTTTTAACTAATGGTTTATTGCTAACTTTATAAAAATGATAAAGCTTTTTTTTTTTTTTTTAAATATTGTGAAAAGATACCATATACTGCACTAGCATTCAATATTTTTCACTAAGCCTTAATCAATAGTGATGAACAATTTAATCGACTAAGTGATTAATTTCTATGACCAACCCACCCTTTTGTTTGAGTCTATTTTCTAAATCTATCAGCTTGGTCGATCCCGCAATCGCCATTGCTCTTAATTGTTTAAAATACAGCATACAAAGAGTAGGAATGTAGCTCTATAGATCTACAGCCCAGTCCACGTAAGGCGCAGAGAAACAGAGCATTATAAACGCATAAGACTAACGGAAAAAAAAGAGGGGCCGAGCATAATATGTATCGATGAGTAGCTGATGACATGGATGCAAAGGAGGGTGGATAGATGGATTTGGCGGTTGGGAAGGTGGATGGGTACGCACGTAACAGGTAGTTGGGTTGAATGCATTGGTTGGTGTAAGCAAGAGTTTCCTGTGAAGAAGACAGAAGATAGGGTTGTTGTTTTTATGTTTTAATTCGTGATGCATTCACACATCTGCCTAATATGAATATCGAGTCCAGAGAGCGAGACTTTAGTGATGCGACACTCATTGGAACATGTGGCTCCTTTGACGTCACCGTTTTAGATATTATGTAACACAAATCCCGTGCTTGAAAGGTCTTGCGGGACGCATTATGCGATTCAGCGGGCCGCTTTGCGGCCCGCGGCCCGAAGGTTGCCCACCCCTCGTGTGAGACATGATAGGAGATTTGTTTTGCACGTGTTTTTGGCAGTTATTCTAAAACTAAAGGTCATAGTCAGGTCAGGGAGATATAATCCATTTTAAGTCATTTATTGGACTTTGATGGTCATTTCAAATCAAGGCAGGATATTTTAAGTCATCTGTGATGATGAGAGATAGCGTTGACCCTTGTAAATTACCTGCTAACTTTGTCATCGCCAGCCTTACTACTCGTGCTGTAAGTCAAGTTTACTAATAGTAAGTCATGGAAAGTGATTTGTTTTAAATCAGGGTTGGAAATTCTTGATATTTCACCAGCGATTGCGTTATGAGTCTTACTTATTGATACAACAGGGTATTGGCGTTGATCCTCTACACCATTACCTCCTCCGTATCAGCCTTAATTTAAAGATTTAAAAAATACAGGCCATTTTGTTTCCTCACTTTTTACTGTAAAGCTTCCAAATTAAATAAAAAAAATAAAAATTACATACTTTTTTTTTATTTTATAATATTACAGTATTTTCATAAGAAATCACATTTTAAGGACAATAAATATCATCTTTTCACTTAGCAAAAAAAAATTGCTGATACATAATTAAGTTAATTGGATTACTAGCGTACATTATTATATTCAAAGAAGAAATATATAGATTCAACAGCTTCCTACCTTACTGTCCGAAGGACCACTTGAGAAACTACACCAAATTACAAATGTCCTCCGTCGAAGATCATCAGTCGGGTTTTTATGGTACGGCTGACCACCTATTCGGTAGAACAACTAACCGGTCTCAGATGTCTGCATTTCGATTTTGGCCCTCGACCAGAGGACCCGCTGAAATGTTCCCAATACCAAAACTTGTGAGACGAGAGAGAGAGAGAGAGAGAGAGAAGAAGAGGGAAAAAATGGTACCATGGAACTTTGCTCAAGATATTCACCTCATTTACTTCACTTATCCCAGACCTTGGTCTGCTCCCACGTTTTTAAAGTGAACTTTTTCGGAAAGTGTGTGTGTGGGGGTGGGGGGGGGTGGGGGGAGAGGGTATACATTTCTTATGTACATACACATTTTGGTGGAATATTTCTATCTTAATGGTTATAGATTGAGTTGTTTGAATTAGATAATGTGGTTGTGTTAAAAACAATAGATGTATATAAATATGATAATGAAGGTGTTACATATTTTGTATTAATTGTTAATGTATGGTACAATAATGGCCCTACAGATCTTGAAGGACAGCATGTATGGTACAGTAATGACACAACAGCTCATGAAAGACAGCATTTATGGTACAATAATGGCACGACAGAGCATGAAAGACAACATGTGTGGTACAATAATGGCACTAGTGATCTTGAAAGACAGTATGTATGGTACAGTAATGACACGACAGCTCATGAAAGACAGCATTTATGGTATAATAATGGCATGACAGAGCATGAAAGACAGCATGTGTGGTACAATAATGGCACTAGTGATCTTGAAAGACAGCATGTATGGTACAATAATGTCACGACAGTTCATGAAAGACAGCACTTTTTAGTATATTATGAATTAGATTCCTCT